TTGATACTATAGTTAACTATAGTACTTTTTTGTTAGGGTAGCACCCAAATATGAAAGAGATGTGGCAAACTCTATTGGTTCCTTTTTCGAGTTCACTGGGAAACTTTAAATGAATCATATTTAGCGTGTACGATGTTTTGCAGATTGATGTTTGAACAAGTTAGCACGAGTTATGTTTAGCGCATTCCCTAATGTTCTTTTTTGTGTTAATATGCAAGAGAGGTACTGTCGTACTTAAATTAGAGAAAGCTGCTTTCCACGAGAATAGAGAATACACAGCCGATCACAGATCGAGCGCTCTACCGACTGAACTTCCTTAACGGTAAAATCCTGGTAGAACATTTACTAAAACCCGCTATGTATCTTTGTTTGTAAGATTTTTACTATAAATGTTAAGAATCCAGTATAGGTATAGTAATTTAAATTCATGTTTATTGTTGGGATTGATTAAACATATTTTGAAGTGACATATAAGTTTGAAGAATTTGTTTCTCAGAAAGGGAGATAGGTATAAGTTTGATTACTTCTAGTAGAATTAAATAACAGTTTCTCTACAATAACAATATAAATAATGAGCCTTACAAATAAAGACAATAATGTTATGTGCTTTGTCAACTTGGACTAGAACATACTGACTGTGAAATCTATCTTATTTTTTTTTCTTTGCGTCTGATTTATTTAAGTCAGAAGGAAAGATAAATCGCTTACTGCGATATTTCAACATCCATCTGAAATTTTTAATCCATTCTTCCAAAGTGTCATTGTCTTTTCTGATGTGTAACTAATCGCCTGGTGTGATCTATCATATAATTTTTAATTTTTTTTTAAAATGTTGAAGCCAGTTGAAAGATTAGGATTCCGTAAATTTTGCCCTTTAAATTCAGTTATTTAAGGTCCTCATTATTATTTATATTTTCGTCATCAGTAATGAGGTGTCCCGCAGGACTATAGTTCTAAGGTGAAGAAAGCTATGAACACTTAGGAGGATTATGTTTCAGAAGTTAAATTTCTAGGCAATGTAGTGCATGTAATTATATGAGTAAATTCTACTTCCGAGGAAAGTAATAAGAGGTCCTCTAATAAATACACAATTAGTTACCATTCAATGAAAGTAAGGTATGTTTCTTGATAAAACGACTTTCAGACGATATCTGTCAATTTGAAGCTCATAGCAATTCTCAAGTAGAAGTATTCGAAAAAAAATCTGCTTAGTAGGAATGTAAAATCAGATCCTCTAATAAATGAGAACAGTAAGTTCCTTTTTTGAATTCTAACAGATTTTTGGAAGACCTGGTTTCCAGAGACAACATAGATCTTGTAAAACGAAAAGTAATAAAAGGGTATTAAACACATGAACACATGCAACAATCCGCTACCTTATCCAGTCGATAGCTTTAACAAAATTTTAATTAACCTTGTCATATTGTTCATTTTTCTTCTTTAAACCTCCTTATGTAATTGTTTCCAATATTGTCCTCCATAGATATAATTTTTCCGTATGTGATTTTGCCCTTTTTTTCCTATTGTTGCATTTGGGCGTGAAATGATATCAGTGTGAGTCTATCCATCATGGTCACTTTTTGGACACTATTTGTCTTTAGTGGAATTACTCTATCATCTGGATACGGTATGTCTCTCTTTCTCTCTTTCTCTCTCTCTCTCTCTCTCTCTCTCTCTCTTGTTTTGTTTTGTTTTTGGGGTTTTTTTTTGGGTTTTTTGTTTTGTTCTACAACATTTCATCAGTTCTACACTCCTACACTGAGAAAATTGGGAATAAATCACAATTCAAAATTTTTATGCATAAATTATCGTATTCTTTCAAATCTTTTCTTTTTACCTCAATCTTATGGCATATGAGTTATTCATATGAATAATATGACATATAAATGCTGTTATATGGTATGATGGAAATTGAGACATGTAAAATTTTGTACATGTATGGCGTGCTTTAACACAAGATGAAAAAGTAAACACGTTCTTTTAATTCTGAAATAAACTATTTATTACAGAATAAATACAGTTCTATTTGTATTATTACTAAGAAATAATAAAGATTACATATTTATATCGTTAAAGAAGCGGTGAAAATCAGATACCTCTGCTTTCGCCATCTCCCTTTTAAGTTCCTAATAATGAAAACTAAGAGTCGAAAAGAACAATGTAAACTTAATTTTCTGGAAAACTTAAAATGTAAACGTTGTGAAAAAAAGATGCCATTGAAATAATTGCTTATATTTAAACAAAAATTACATATCATTCCCTTTATCATGCAGAACACTTGTATTAAATAAACATATGCATAAATTTAAAAAAAAAATCCCTCCTATGAGATCAGGTCCAAGGATTATGAAAAAGTCTTAGACTTGAGACAAACATTTCGCATTCATAAAATTAATAAGCATTAGAGACATACGTGGAAAACTGATAATAACGTCATTGATGGGAAAAGACCAGATTAAAAGACAATTCTAAATCTAATTTTGCTACATGATATTTCCACAAATTTTGGCTAATAATACATTTTTTTTTAATCACAAGCATACAAAACTATAGACGTCTACGATATTATTTTTTTTTAAATACGTTCATGTATCATGTGACAACTGTTGTTCTTGCCGAAAATATTTATGACGATTATTACCTGTATTAAAGGACAGGTGATACAAACAAAAAATGGATGCCTGGATTTGTATATACTTTTTGACCTATTTTTGTTGTAAATAATAAATAATTTATTTCTAAAATATTAAGAAATATAAGCATTCTAGTCTACGATGTTCAAAATTCCACCTTTCTGCAAACCATCCTTATGAATCTATACAGCATTTTCTCATATTATTAAAGGATGGATTCTTTTCATATATTGCTAGATACTTCATTTTCTGCATACTCACTATTCCGACTGTGTATACTATTTTAACATCCAAAACCTTCTGTGTCATCGGCGTGATTCTCAGTCAAGGTCATTTGAAAATAAGTCTTAAAATAATACTTTTACACAGGGGAGTTTTGACATTTATGAATATTTTGATGACTGAAAAAAAAATCCTTCACCAGCAAATTAATGTTGTTACTTATTATTGTATATGTATACAATGTATATATAAAGTTATGTCCACAATTCTTTTAAATGTACCTCAGAAGTCCATCTGCCAGTCCCTGGCACAATCATCTTGCATTCTCACCTCCAATTTTAAACATGAACATTCCTTAGACTATTTTTTTTTTAAATTAATGAAAATTGATTAAAAGATTAAACAACAAATCTCATCTATTGTAAATGAATGAAGAAATCATAGTAGACTCATATATGTATTATTTCTTTTATTATGGTGTAAAATACATACATACATAAATATCTTTTAATCCTAAAAATACAGAAAAAGACAAAAATAAGGAAAAACATGTATGTTTTATAACATATAATGTTTCATTTTGCTCAATCTATTTATTAGACTATAGTCTATAGACTATAATATGTATATGTGTGTATCAATACTGATATTTTCACATCTTAAGTTAATTTTCAGCATTCTGATTAATGTGTACCTATACGGGACACCTTACTTTTCAAAAACTTTGATTGGTGTAGTCTTGAACAAATTAGTTAGAAATAAAAATTGTAATCGTATTTAAAAAAAAAATACTATTTTGTTGATTCATAAAACTGATTTTAACATAATGATAATATACCCTCTTCAAATTTTGACTAGTCTTGGGTATAAGCAGACAAATTTTATTATATAAACAGATCTTTAAACAGATCTAGAAATCAATGAAAACCAGCATGTTATTCAATTTCAAAATTTACTGCGCACGACATGACATCAAAAGAGGCAACATAGGTTCTGCATTTACGAAGTGTGTTTGTATTTGTTCGGGTTAAAAGAAATATGATTCAAATTGCAACAACTGTTTTTGTTCTTGCTACCGAACTGCAAATTTCATGGTGATTGTTGCAAAACAAAGAAATATTGATGGAAAAGAAATATTCATTCAAATAGAGTTAGATTGAACATGACTTAAACTAATAAATTAATCAATAGTATTTCCTTATGTGCGATTAAATACGAGTTTTGCATTGTGAGATCTGCATAATGTATGGCGACTCATTGACGACGTAAAATGCCGACAAGAATCCATCCTTAAATCAAATTATTGTGAAACTTTGAATGAAAAATGAAAATCTTTGCAGTTAAACTTAAACATTTTACTTAAATAAACATGATTTAATTTGCTATTTTCAAGATTTTGATAAATGTTTGTTTGTATTATCTGTCCTAAACCTGAAACTTAGATGTGCCTAATTTTAATCTGAGAATCACGGTCTAGACTTCATACACTCTTTGTAGATGTCAATCTTTACCCCTTAAGTTTTTCTGCGGTCTTTCAAGTTACATATATGGTAGGAAATAATTCTTCAGATATCATTGAAATTTAGTTCTTGATCAAGTGCATAACTAGATACGTTTAACCTCAAAACGCCGTGTACTCCATAGGGTAAATGAAAATTTATTTCTACACATCAAAGAATGAAAAATTAGATATAGAGCGCACACATGCCCGAGAGAGGTTGTAGTAGTGATCATGATACATTAATTTGAAATATCAAAATTTCGTCGAGGACATGGAATTGTGTTTCTCATCGATTACGAAAATAATTACATTCATTGTTTTACATTTTATCAAAACATTCTCTATTCTGTGTTCACATGCATATTTTTTGCAACCAGATTGATAAAAGGGCAATGTTTTCGTATGTAGCGTAAAAAATCGTATATTTTAAATCAAATGAAGGAAAAGAAGTTTAGAATAATCTGTTTTAAATCATTTTATTAAAACTGTAATACTTGCTGAAATATTTCAAAAATGTGCCGTATGGCTATATTCAAAGACTTTTAAAAATATCTAGGCATAAACTTGAAATCTAGAATTTCAGGTTGATCAAGCATGTTTAATTATACTTTTACCTCATTCACAAGTTGATTAATCTAGATGTTTTATCTCACGATCAACCGGCATTTCAAAGTACAACTTTAAGTCGGATTGGTTCTGAAGCAAATATGGCTGTGGATGGGAATCCTGCTACTTGTGCAATGACTGATACGATTGGTTCTAGTAGTCAACATGATAGGGCTTGGTGGTACGTGGATCTTGGTGACATTTACAGTGTATACAACATAAGGATACAGTTTAATGACATGGGGAAAGAATATGGCAAGTTTAAGTATTCAGTAAAGTAATCACCTTTCTTTATATTCGTGTGTCATCCTGTTTATTACCAAGCGATTTTTCATCTAGTTGAAAAAAAAGAAGAAAAAATATCTTCATTTATAACATCTTATCACATCTAAAAGCATCTTATTTTGCTGAAATTTATCTATTTTGATAATGTTTACTTCTTTGAGATGTTCACTTGCATACGAATTTAAGTACAATAACACAAAGAGTACTGTGAAAAAATCTACTATCTTTGAAAATTCATTGTATGCTAAATATTTGTTGCAATTTAACAAGTTATTTTAAATTAGTTCGTTGCATAAATCAAGGTAAGATTATGCACTGGTCAGATTGAATATAGCAAAGATGCTAAATTGCAATCTTTCAGGAAAAACTGTTAGGACTTTTTGATAATAATATGCAAATTATGGAATATTTATGGGATATTTGGATTTGTCGAGTTGATACTTAAATTCTAAAATAAATATAAACAACTTTATTTTCGATGAAGCTTTCAGTATTATTGAAAACAAATTCAGTCGTTGATTTATGAAAGCATGCATTTGTATGTTTCAAGCCTAAATAATCATAGAATACAAACTCTACCGGACGAATAGTTTCAAGAAGAAAGTAAATTATATCGTCCAATGCATATTCTAACACTAGATCTTGTAGTGTGCATCTATAAATCTCAGTACAGTTAGCATGCATAATGAAAATATTGGCGATAAATTGTTACTGAAAAGAAATACTTTATGAGAACTGGCGATTCTTTTTAGTTTACGAATATCAGACAGGGTGAAAGTATGTTTTCTTCATATAGACTAGTCATTTGTTGCAGCAGTCACCAGACTTTAGCAAATATGCTTTTAATTAATATTGAGGTCAACTATAAATTCCATTTTTTCAAGGAATTAATTAAGTTATAATTCTAGTTCCAATTACAGTAAAATTCGTTTGGTACGAACACGGATATAGCGAATTTATTGACATAGCGAAGTTTTTCGGGATCCCAGGCAAAATTCTCAACAAATTCCTGTATAAAATTTTACGGTTATAACGAACTCTGATATAACGAATTTATGGATATAGCGAAATGATTATGAGTCGCGTAGAGGTTAAAAATAATGTAATTTACATCTTTTATAACGGATTTTCAAAGATCTAAAAATCTGATATATTGAAATGACTTTATTTTCATTAAGTATTTTTAAATAAATTTCATAATAAAACCGTAGTTATCCAATGTATGTTTTATGATAATTGCTTCCCTTACTTATTCGGTAGTAATACTTGAAAGAAAAGGGGTATATTGCGAATTCGCTATAAATACTTACACGAGTTCGTTATTCGGATAGAACGAATTACGGATATAACGAAGTAAATTCACAGGTCCACAGTACTTCGCTATACCCGAGTTTTACTGTATAAGAATTTTAAGCACCCTTTGTAGTTTGTGACAATCCCATACATATTGTTCTATTTCATTGTTCAAACTATATTTGTATGATCGCGTGCTTGATTTATTGCTGGACAACTCCATTAAATTTCAATTTCATCTGGATCATAAACCTTTTCAAATATGTTAGCACTTCTTCATACTTTATAGAGTTTATGTGTAATAGCCTAATAAGTTCCTTTGAGTTTATGTCCCTCGATTACCTTCAAACATGAAAAAGCATCACTTAAGTTAATGGCTTCTTTATATTCAGCATAATTTATTATAATATTTTAATTTTATTATGAAATACATTTTTCGTTATGGAAATTTGGCTCGATCCTCCTCACACTGTATAAAAACTGCATCAAATTTTACTATATATTGTCAATTGATAGGTGCATCGCGATCAGTTGCTTGTTCAATGTAGTTGCGACGGAGTAACTAATGACAGAATGTATTGCAAGTTTCTTGAGGTAGTTTAATGCTCCTCACAGCTTGAAATTTTTAAACATTTCGTTTAAGGGTATTTTGTGTAATATCATCGAAATCACTACCCATATCAGCTAGGTTTATTGATTTACCAAGCTAAACCATTGACCCTAATTTAAGTATATTAACCCTTTAACTACCAGAGATTTTGCATTTTTTCTGCAAAACTGCATAAAAATTTCAAATTGAAATTTTAACATTTTCTAGTCACTTTTACATGAAGCAACCTATACATTTTCTGAAAGGTAAAATATTAAAGTATTTAATTATGCAGAATAAAATGACTTCGTGGTTGCCATGGCAACGAATGAGATCCATAATTGCCAAAATATGTGTTTTCATCCATTTTACATCACAGAAATACAAACCAATTTACAAATAATGTTTCCATAACAGAGGATTTACTGATACTATTGAAACAAAATATGCAAACAATTAGTTTTCAGTTATACCGGTCAATTTTATTTGATAGAAAGAGTTTATACAATTACACAATGGCTTTACAGCTGTCTGATTGTCGTAAGTATAAGCAATTTACAAATCGCTTTCCCTCCTACAGTTTTTACCTGACTCAATAAAAGAGCAAGAGTCACTTTGGGCCATTTTTGGCCCTGAGAATTTCTGAAAAATCGAAACTGCTCATTTTTGGTTGAAAATGCAGTATCTATAACTTGGACCCTTACTGACCGTGTATCTATTAAACATGACGTAATTTTCTCTTTAGTCAATGCATTATGACGTCATAAAATGCGTCATTTTACCCATAGTCTGTAAATTCCCTTAAAAATGGCCAAAAGTTGAGGTATGTTTTCGATATTTCATATAGAGCACAACCTCTGATCCAAAATATGCAATTACATAATGAAAGATCTGTTTCTGAAGATCACAAAACATGTTTTAAATTTTGGATGGTGGGCTGTGCTCATATTTCATTTCTTTGCTGAAGATCACAAAACATGTTTTAATTTTTGGATGGTGGGCTGTGCTCATATTTTATTTCTTTGCTGAAGGTAGTCAAATACGCATGTTTTCTGCAAAATTCAAAAACATTGCATTTTCTCAAAGCATGATTTTCAATACCTGGATTCTCAAAAAGAAATTTTGTTACAAGAAATAAAAGCACCAAGTCTCTACTTTATTTTGATACATGAAATGGGACAGAGGGTGATAGTCAATTAATTGACATAAGGACAGGGCCATTTTATGCATAAAGTGAACCTAGCTCTTTGGTACACTTTTAGAGTGTACTAAGAAAGACAATTCTTTATCTTAGTTTTTTTTTTTATTTCAATGAACAGTGTTGCCATGGTTACAAAATAGCAATTTTGAGAAGGGAAATTTCTATCAAAACATGGATATACTATATTCAACGCCCTGGTACACATTAAAATTACAAATATCAACTTTACAAAAATTGACATATATTAAATTTTGGTCGAAGGGAGAGGAGGTGGGATATTGCTGAACATTGTCTCTAATTCGTTTGTTAAATGTTGACTTGATGTCCGAGAATCATGCGAGAAAATATCTCGCCTTAAATACCCGATTCTTTTTCTTTTTGGAAAACCATGTGTTCTAGAAGAAACAATATTAATGCCCAGTCGTTTTTGACATCAAATTGTCACCCATTTACTTTCAGTAGAGTTTTATCACTGAATTAAATTACTTGCCTTGTTCCAGGGACCTGCATCTGAGAATTCACAACACCCTGAAATGTACTCCAACATACAATATCACTAGTTCATCAGTAGGTTTTATACGAAGGCCATGGGGAGAGTATGGCAAAGGACTACGCACACTAACTCTCGATTCCAACCTATATTTTACACCCCTTTATTTAATAAAAATAACAATTTTGCCATCATTTTTTTTTATATTGCAAACAAGAGTTCACTAGAGATTGAATTATATTACTGTCATATTGTAATTTTTGAAATTACCGGATTGAAGTAAATACAAAATTCCAATATTACAACTTGTCATATTGTAATTTTTAGCTTAACTGAACCGAAGGCTCAAGTAAGTTTTTCTGATCAAAGAGTGTCCGGTGTCCGTCTGTCGTCTGTAGTCCTTAAACTTTTCACATTTTCGACTTCTTCTCAAGAACAACCGGGCCAATTTCAACCAAACTTGCCACAAAGCATCCTTGGGTGAATTTAAGTTTGTTCACAGGAAGTACCGCGCCCTCTTTCAAGGGGAGATAATAAAGTATTCATGAAAATTTTGTGGATTCTTTTAAATATCTTCTCAAGAACGACTGGGCAAGAAAAGATGAAACTTATGTGAAAGTATCATGATATACTGTAGATGCAGATGTGTTCATATCATGACACCCGGGGGTAGGGCAGGGCCGAAAGAGGGGGTCGTACGAATAATAGGAAATGTTTTTAAAAATCTTCTGTAGAACAGCAAAACCATGATTACTCATATTATAATAGAAATATACTCAGGTAGTGTAGATTCAAGTTTGTTCCAATCATGACCCCTTGGAGTAGGGCAGGGCCACAACATGGGGTCAAAGTTTACCATAAGAATATATTGGAAATACCTTTAAAAATCTTCTACTCAAGAACAGCTAAGCCATATTAATAAAGAAGTATCCTCAAGTAGAGTAGATTCAAGTTTGTTAAAATCAAGACCCCCACGGATAGGACAGGGCCACAACAGTGGGTCAGAGTTTTACATAGAATATATAGGTGTAATCGTTAAGGGGCATTCGAGTAAAATGCATTGAAGACCTGAAATAATGGAATGACCTGGCAACCCTTGGAATGGACTAGCCACCAAAGGGTATATAAGCCAAGGCTTTGGGAAAGTCAGGCATTCAGAAGCTAGCAGAAGTGGGATGCTGAATCAGCAATAAAGAAGTTAAGGTATTCCATCCCTATATCAACAGATTAAATGAAATTGAATACAAGACAAATATGTAGGTGTTTTATAATCAGTATATTTAGACATAATACTCATTTATTACTGTTTGCATTAAGGGTGGGATGTGTCCTAATTTATGACCTTGAATTTTGGTAAGGGTTATCTCCATCTTTTTTAAGTCACCTGAGTCACTCAG